TTTCCTTTAAATTTATGATATAAACTATCAAAAAATAGATTTAATCAAATTTTCAAGTATTGCTGCAATTAAATTTGTTTTAAAATTGCAAATAAAATAATTTTAGTCTTATTAAAACAATTGGTGGAATATTCCTTTTGATTATGAAGAAAGGATTAATAGTAATGATCCTTAATAAGATAGCTAAAAGCTTATCTGTTTAATTGTTTAAGAAGAAAATAATATTATGGTATACATAATTAATCTTTAAACTAAATAAATTTTGTATTCATATTAATTATCTAAATACTCTAAAGTTACAAATGTAGTAATTGATCCCTTTAGGCAGTTGATATATGTAATTAACAATTAAAGTTTAACTTTGGTATTCTCTTATAAGTTAAATTTAATTACAACCCTCTAGAATGCCTGTTTAAAGTAAGCTAAAATTTCATATGACTCAGATTTTGTTTATTCCATATGTCCAAATGATGTCATAATTTATAATGGGTTAAGTTTTTAATAATAATTTCCGATTGTTGACAAAGGAATAAAAGAAGTTGAAAATTTTATTAGTACAAAATATAACAACTATTTTATTATTATATAAAAAAATAAACTTTCTCTCATAAAAATGGAATATCTATCTGATTTCCAACTTGTTTATGAAGTCAATAAAACTTATTAATAGCTATTAAATATGAAAGTCACTAGAGGCTAAAACTATTAAACTTATATAGAACTTTTACTTTCCTCTTATGATAATGTATAGCATTAAATAGTTCCTTTACAATAAAATTAAAATTGCTATATTAACATACAACAGTAAAACAGACCAATAGAAAATGTTTACACAACCGTATAATTATTTTAAAGTTTTAGTTCAATAAAAAGTTTTAATCAACAATTATCACTAATACAAATAAATTACTAAGATCAATAGTGCATTTAAGGTATAAGTGACAATTTATATAATCTCTAAAATATTGATTCAAATACCAAAACTAGTTTGACTATTTAATCTTCATCTCAATAAGAGAATATTTGTTGGTTATACTCAGATAAAAACAATTTCTCATCTTATATAGAAAACTTTTATCTTAAAAATATGAATTTATCTCTTTAAAATGCAATAGTATTTAATTAGAAAAAATAGATGAAAAACTTTTAAATGTTTAACATGACTTTAAACATTCAGAGCTCACTGACTTTAACTGACTTTGATAAAGTTCTTTTTTAAAATATCAAATTCGACAATTAGAGAGATGGTCAGAATTAAATAATAATTCAAAACTGCAAATTAGTTATAATCGAGTAAGTAGATATAATTGATATATTATCTCAATAGATAATATTTACATTAACTAACAATAGCAATGTTATAATTTAAAATATAAACATCTCGAAGATGAATGGAAATACTATATTTTAAATGGATAACAATTACTAAGTAGTAATAACTGATATTAAAATACAAAACTCTAGCTACATAAATGTATTTCAATTATCTCTATCAAATTTTTTTAATGCTACAAATCTTATCATATAGTCAGTATTATTTTCTTAGGTTTTAAAGATATAAGGAGCCACAATTTCTAAGATTTAACACATAGAGGTTGATAATTGTTATTAACTACAATTGATATAATTATAACCAATTAAGTTAGAAAATTTATAATATTTATCTAAATATTATATGTTGTAAGATTTGAACTTGCAAAATTCTACTGATATTTCACTTGTTACTTAGTCTGAATAAACTCAAATCTCTGATATAATTATTTAGAAATTAAATACCTCTTTAAATTGTTTCACAATAAATGCATTATAGTTATCTTTAAACAATTTTACTATTTAAAATTCAATAGTATATTTAAGTTAGCCTTCTGTAATATTTATACTTAGCTATACAGACTGTGATATTCAAAATATAAATTCATCTAAAAATTAAATAACCATTTTAAAAATTAATTAGCAAAATTTTATTAGTTATACATAAATCCATTCTTCTTCATTTATAGATTTTACTTTATAAAATCCTGTGATGGAATTTATAAACGCACATGTAATAATTTTAGATCAAATTTAAGTGTAAAATATTTTATTATATGATAATATGTATTCTTCAATAATAATAATGAATTAATGTAATAATATTACGATAAATGAGAGTCATTTTATAAATAACACAAATACAATTGGTACTGGAGGATCTATTTATGCTACTGATAATTAATTTATTTAAATAAAAAATACAGTATTTAAACAAAATTAATGCTAATTATAAAATGGAGGAGCTTTAAGTATAAAGAATAATATTGAAATGGCTAGTCTAACTATAAAAAAGAGTGCTTTTATAGATAATTAGGCTTTATTATCTACAGGTGGAGCTATCAATTTGGTAAATTCCAATTTAATGATGGAAAATTCTGTAGTTTCTTCAAATTAGGCTTTAATTGGTGGTGGAATCTATTATTAATAAATAATTCCTGATTTTGTATTAGATTTGACAAATAAAATCATTAATAATAACATCATCTCTTAAAATTTCGCAAAGTTATATGGAAATAATTTAGGATCTACATTGAGAAGTATTAAGATTAATTTAAATGATATAGAAACATCAAAGAAAACATAAATAATAGAAAATTAAAATAGTTAGATTTATGTCAATTCATTTAAAAGTGGAGACTAAATAAATTTTAATAAAATTTAATTACTTGATGAAGAGGACCATCCAATCTTTATACCTAGTAATGATAATACTAACACTTAATAATACAGTAATGACGTTTAATCAATATTGTAGTAAATTAGCGTTTCTTTATAGTGGGACTAATCTACATAGTAAATATAGTGTCTTGGAGAGCTGTAATCAAAGTAATTTACAAACAATGGATTTAAATTGAATGCATAAATTATGTATAAACCAAATAATTAAATGATCTTGCAAATTGTTTCCAATTTATTTCCAAAAATTTCTGATTCAAAAGGGAATGTATATTTAAAGCAGTAATAACTTTATAAAAACATCACTATCAATTTTAATAGTTGTTAATTGGGCTAAATTACTAAGCAGCAAAGCAACTCAATAGTTTGCGAGGATTGCCCTGAAGGAAAATACTCACTAAGTTTGTAAGATAGTTCTTGCTTACATTGTCCTGATTCAGCTGTTAAATGCTACCAGTCAACAATTCTTTTAAAAAATGGATATTGGAGAGAAAACGAATTTACAGACTAAATAATATATTGTCATTTTCGTCCTAATTCATGCTAAGCTGAATCACAAATATCTAAAGTAAATATTTTTTTTTTATGTGGTTGATAAGTATTAGAGTCCATTTTAGATTGGCTTTAACCAAAAAGGAGGGAGAAAGAGAATATATTTAGATTCATTATTTCAAAAATTTGAAATGAATTTTAATTAAAAAATATTCACAAACTCTGAAAAATTGAACCATTATTTTTAAATTAAAAGGAATTTTTATAAAATAATTTTTAATGTATTTTTTTGTTAAGGAATATTGTATAACTGGATACAAAGGTCCTCTTTGCTACTCATGTGATACTTTTGGAGAAATTTGGGGTAAAAAATATCAATAAATATTTAGTTAGGGAGAATGCTACAGTTGTGAGGAAAATAGCTTTTTCATAATTACATAAAATTTAGTTTTATTCATAATCATTTTTTGCTATTTATTTGCACTTTTAAGAAATATAATTAATAAATAACAAACTAAATTAGCAGGTTACTTTATCACTAAAATGGATTTAGTCTATTTAGGATCAACGTGTATTTTATTAGCTTAAATTTAGCATATAATTTATGAAATAATTTTTATTTTTTTAAATTTAATTTAGATTTAATTTACTATTTTATAATTAAAAAAATGTATTAATATTAATTTAATTATAATATAGTAAGATAATAAGATAAACCTTAGATAATTTCCAAAATTTTAACTGATCACCTTCAGATACTGTCTTTGCTGAGCTTTTTTAATATTAATATTCCTAACTATTTTAAGCTTCCAATATAGGTGTCAGGAAATTCTTTGAGCTTAACAAGCAAGTCTATAGATTGCTTTTTTTCAAGATATCCAAATTTAAAACCTTTATGGTTTTATTAGTCTTTGTGGTCGCTATGTTTACCACTTTCTATACTCTCGCTTTATTTAATATTAGGCTTTATTTTAAGTTATTTAAAAAAAAATACAAACATTTTTAAATACTTAAATACTGCATGTATCTTCATATATCTTTATTTTTATCCTATGATCATTATGCTATTTAGCAGGTCTTTGAATTGCATACAAATTGGTGATAAAAGCTATCTTGATTTAGATATAAATATATTATGCTACGACCCTTAAGATCATAAGCCGTATGTTATATTCTACTGCTTACCATTACTACTACTTTGGGCAATTATTGTTCCGCTATTTTTATTCTTAAAAATTAGAAATGGAAAAATAAAAAAATGGTCAATCATTATTGAAATAAAGTATTCTTTTATATTTGCAGGATATAAAGAAAAGTATTATTATTGGGAATTTGCAAAATTAATTTATAAATCAATTCTAATTTTGATAGCTACATTACTTCAGCAAAATTCTTTCTTAAAAGTAAATTATTAATTGTTTTAATAAATAAATACGAATCAATTTAAATTAACTTTATTCCCTTTTTCTATTTATAAAACGAATAAATATACCATTTAATTTTAAAATTAAAATAGTTGAGCATGCTAAATGCAATTATCTTATTGTAGATTTATATAATATTTAAAGCTAAGCCATTCACAATTTAGAATTTCAACAATTTATTATAAAGATCAGCAATTTTATGTGCATTGTCACTAAATTTAACTTAAATTATTGCCAGTGTTACAAATATGAATTTTATTTTAGAAGCTATTTTAATTACATTATTAATATTTTCTAATCTTCAATTTATAACTTAACTGGTGATTGGGATATGTCTAATTACAATACAAAATGACAGATAAAAAAGGAGTAGAATCTAAAATTGCCTCCTATATTTTATATCAAAATATCCTTCATTATTTGAAAACATTTAAGTTTAGTAAGGCTAAGTAAAAGTAAGTTCTCTTTTGAAAATAAAGTTAGTCAAAAACAAAGTTAAACATTTAGTTAAGTACTTAAAGCAATACAACTTTTTCAATTAAGAATCTTTGCAATAACATTTTAATATCTAAAGAACTTAAATTTTTTCTCCTTAATTAGAACTATAGTAGTAAGCCAGTAGATTTACTTTATTATCTGGTAATGAAAATATCATTAGACAACATAAAAAGATAAATTCTTTCAAGAGTATGAGAGAGAAATGGTCATATTATACAAGAAAAACAAAAGAAAGTCCAATAAGTAAATTATCTATTTCTTAAAATACTAAATAATTTCCATTTTTTATTAAAAAGATGTACATTCATTAGATAGTTAAGATAAAATCTAGAATACACACAAAGAAATAGCTCTTACTGAAAATATGTAAAGTTACACTTCTAACACTTCTCACGATGAATTTGGAATATAAATAACAAGTGAAAATAAATTAAATAAAAATTTAAATCATTTTACCAAAAAATAATGATAAAATTAATATATTCATTTATTTAAAAATAATTATATATAAGATAATGAGATAAAATGCTACTTTTTAATTCTATGTATTTTGCGTCAATAAATTTTTACAAAATTTATATGAAAAATTTAATAAATAATTATTTTTATGTTTAAGCTTGTGCTTAATCTTATCATTATTTTATTTTTATTCTATAATAAATAATTATATTTATGCTAATTATTAATACTTCATAAATAAAAACTATTTAAATTTTAAGCTAGATAAATTTAAGTTTACTTGCTGTTTATTCTATTTCATAAACTTTTATAAATACTTTTACTTATTACATTTAATTTATATATTTACCAATTCATTTTAGCTTATTATATAAGATAGCTTGAAAGTGAATAAAAAATTTAGGTAATACTTTAAAAGTACATTTAAAAAATAAATTAAATTAGCTTGAATAAAGTTTTTTCATACTTTATATACAAATTTGTTAAAAATGTAATTTTTTTAAAAAATAAAGAAAACTAACTATTTTAAAAGAAAAATATCAAATTATTTTATTAATCTATTTGTTTTAGCTTTTTCAAAAAGTTTTTATCATCAAAATAACCACTATAATTAAGTGTTCATAATTTAAACGAATTATAATAAAGACCAATCCATCTATTTTTGTTAGGAAAAAAAAAAATCAGAAGTTGAAAAGATAATAAAACTCAATTATTAATTCTAACTATGTTTAAATTCTACTGAATACAATTTTTGCTTAATAATTTGATTAACATTATTTAAATAATTAAATATAAATTTCTTTAAATTAATCAAGAAATCAATTAAAAAACTGCTTCAAAAGAAAAAAAAAGATAATAAAACTATCATACAATTTTGAATGAAAATAAGCTGTTTTTTTGCAATTATTTTTATTGTTGCATCTAAGATTAGAGCTGAATGTTCAAGCGGATAAATATTTAATCTAGTTTCATAATAGTGTTTGCCATGCTCAAGCAGTTGCTAAGATTGTTTTAGCACTAGTTCAGATTCTTGCATAAGCTGTCCTCAGAATTATTATAAAAGTAATTTAAATTCTTCTACATGTGTTTAAAATTGCGAAGTTGGAGAAATATAAGCAGATAACTAATACTGTATTAAATGCTAGATTGTAGGATGTGTTAAATGTGATTCTAAATAAAATTGCTTACAATGCAGCCCTAATTTATACTTTGATAAGGAAAAGAATGAGTGTTCACTAAAACAAAAAATTTGTTAATCTGAATGGGATTTTATCTAAGAGCCTTTTACAGAATAATAATGTGTAAATAGTTGCCAAAGCTCTTACTTTCCAAATTAAAAAACATAAATATGCTAAAAAATTAGCTAATGTATACAAATTAACGACAGTCCTCCACTGCTTACTTAAAAAGTTCTCGAATTAAACTCATTTAATCAAGATTACTACCTCATTAGAGCAAATTCATGTTATTTTGCTCTTGTGGATTAAAATTTTTAGATTATTTACATCGAAATATATTAAGATATGCAAGGCTTTTATTTTAATTATATTGCTAATGGATATTATTAATACTAATAAAAGAGCTTTATTTTAGAAGAATATGGAGGCTGCTTAGCTAATAGTTCTATAAAAGTGATAAATTTTATCACAAAGCAAATTGTTTTTGATTAAACTAATTTAGATTATGATTACTATGTTTAATATATTGATTATTAAAATAGAATAGTATTTCTTAATTAAATGAAAACATGTTTAATAGCTTGGTATGATTTGATACAATAAAAATTGAATAAATTTCCATGCGATTTACTTCCTATTCAAGGTATTTTTTAAATCAATATTCTCAACAAAACAAACTATTATATATAGATTACTGTCGGTTCTTATTAGGTAAATATAATATTTTCTGATTTATTTTATAAAAATTTTTTAATTATTAATTTAGGTAGCTATTTTGTAAGAAGATAGATCTCTAAAATTTTTAGATACCTAATTATTATATTCAGACTATATAAATATTATGTAATCAACTTAGAAATATTAATATTTAATTAGCACTTTTTCTGATTTTTTGCAAAGACAAACATCTGTTTATAAGTAAGTATACTTAAATGATACTAATTTCTAAATCACATTATTAGAATAATTTGATTTAACAAATGATATATTTTACAGTAATTTAATAAATTCAATTATCTTGATTGATAAAATAAATCAGATATTATAAATATTTGTTTTAAATTAGGTATCAGAATAAGTGGAATAAGTACTAAATATAACTTTTATTAACTAGATAAATGATTATTCATTTTATGAAAACTAAGAATATAACTCTACTTTTGTTTTCTTAATTTCAGATAATCTATAATTTATCAATTTGACTGATTATTTAATAAAACTTTAAAATGGTTATCAGTTTTAAAACGATACTTTAATCTAAGGATTAAAAAGCGGATTTATTACAAGCTTATCAACAATAACAAATGTTTTTTTCAAATAGAATAATATTATTGAAATATTTTTGTCATAAATTTTCGAAGTTTAAACTAATAATTTTTAATAAATTAGAATATCATTAAATACTACAGATTAAACTTACTTAATTAAGTATTTAAATCCTAATGAAAATTAAAAGCCTAATTAAGATTTTAGTTAATTTTCTACAGTTAACACTCGCTATTACTAAAATATTTTTAGCTTAAATAAAAATAAAGATATAAATTTATTTTATATTCAAGATGAAAAATAGAGATTAAATTCATAAGCTTTAGGAGTTTAAAAAATTAAATTTTCTTTTTAAAATTTATAAAAAATTTCTATGATAAATACTAGGTTCTATTCATTTGAACTAAAAGATAATCTAGTGTATTTTAACAAATTATAAATAATAAATAATTAGTATTTTTTATTAAGCAAATAATTTGATTCAGTTATATAAGAATATGTGGTTGACATTAATTCATAAAAGTAAATTATTTCTTATCAGTACGATTCTTCAAATATAATAGGTGTTTTTTAATATTTGGAGAAAAGAAATTTACTAATAATATAAAGTATTCCTTAAATTTTTAGTTTAGATACAAGTGAACAAATAATTCAAAATCCTTCAGCTTACTATTTTTCTCTTTAGAATTTTGTCATTTTAAATGATGATTAGATAGCTTACTTGACTTTAAATGAATTAGATGAGACGATTCTTTATTTAATAGACTTTTTAACAAACAATATATCAGAAATTTATAATTTTGGTACAAACTCTACACCCAATTTCTATTATGTTCATGATGTTTACAATCCATTAGTTGCTTTTAATGATATTATTTATTTTTATTTTTTAAATAATGACTGCCAACCTTTTTCTATCAGCTAAAAAAAATTTATCAACAAATCTATAACTGTGTAATTCTATGTAATGGACAATCCTTACTTTAATTACTAAAAAACAGGAGAAATCTTCATATTTCACTAGTCTTTTATATAAGTCTATAGCTTTGATTTATCTCGAAATGAGCTCTATAATTTCGGTATAAATTATCCAGAAGCAATTAATGGTTATTATATTCAAGTTTTTAATGATAGATATGTTTTTTATTATGATCAAAGCTATTTTTATAGATTTGACATGGAATTAAAGCAATTTATGAGAATAGATGCTAAAACTGATGCCTCTTTATATGCAGAAAAAGCTATTTAGTTTTATTTTTTAGATGAGAATTTGTAATATATTCAAAAGTCTGAAAATATAATAGATACAAGTAATATGGTTATTATTAAAAGTTAACTAGAAGATTGCTATCTACTAGGGAGTATAGAAAATGATGACAATACTTAAATTCATAGTTTTTCATCTTAAGATGGAGTTTTTTGGATTAATAATTTATTCAACAATCCATTTAGCATTTATAATTTTAAATAAAATTATGTAATTTAAGATATTAATTTACAAAATAATAAAATTGCATTATATGATAATTTCACATAAAATTTAATCATTTACGACGTTATTAAAACTAATAATGAATTAGTTTTTATAAAATTAAATTTTACATTTGATCTCTCAATCGTTATTGTTGATTGGAATTTAGTATCCTTCATATGGGTAAAGGAAAACGTCTTTTATCTATAAAATACATAAAATGAGCCACAGACATAAATAATTATAAAATTAGAATCTAATGTTCTTAAGTACGAGTACTGTTTAAATTAGTAAATTTTAGTTGCTCTCACTTTTAATAAAATGATATACTCAATAAATGTAATTCAACTTATAATATTTTAATTTTTTAAAAAATATTATTAATTAAAATAGGTCTTGGAAAAGACATATAAATTCATAGAATATAGCTTCTAATATTCTTATCCAAGCTTTTTTGTTCAATGTGATGATAATTAGATAGTATTTTACTATTAGCACATTTAAATTTTTGATTTAATTACAGCATAAATATCAAAATACCCTACTTAAAATGTAAATATATTAATTTCCTTTTAAAATTTTTTTATTAAATTATAAAATGGGGTAAACATTTTAGAAAATAATAATTTAAATAGATGAGATCTATTTATAAAAAGCATAAAACAAACAATTAATATATAATTACCCTAGATCCCACCCCATGTTAAATATTAGAAACTTATTTATTATCAAATATCATTTCAGTTTTTATTTAAAATTCTAAAATTCATTTAATATTTTGAGCCTTAAAAATTTAAACATATTTTAATGATTTGACATTGAAAATTCATTTGTTAGAATTATATTAAAAAATAAATATATTTTTAATAAACTTTACTATTATTTATAGAGATAGCAACTAGGAATGACTTAAAATGTTTACTAAAATATACCTTTGATAAGTAAGTAAGACTAGTTAGTAGTAGTTTTTTTTAACTAAAATGTCAATTTTTTTAGCAAATAGGACTTTCAAAGTTCTAACTATTTGTTTGAGTATAGATATAATAATACAAGCTTATTCTATGATGGCGATCATAAAATATTGATTGGATTAACAGGGTCATTAAAATAAGTAAACATCATTAATATTCCAGGAAATTAATAATTATTCCTTTATCAATGTGTCGCATAATTTGCTGAAAATGCAGTTTATTATTATTAAGAATAGACTAGCTTGATAGTAGTTGATAGCAGTCCAACTATTTATCTTTTTAATTATTTAACCCTGAATTTTACAAACTTTAGAATTGATGTAAATAACATCCAAGGTGTTTTGATGGATAAAAACAAGAATATAGCTTTTTTATATTCAAATTAGTTTATATTAACATTTTAATTTCCTAGTATGTAATTTATAGAAACGATATCTTTATAAAACTATAATACTACTTCTATAGTATAAGTTTATCTAAATACGCAGTAATCTTTGATGATCGTTTAGACTTACACATATATAATTGCTTTTGATCTGACAGAAATACTTTATGCTAGCCCTACTAAATTGCTTTAATACTAAAAATTATAACATTTAAATATCAAGAATGAATTCTTTGTAAGTTATAGTATTCTAAATCTCTCCTTAAATTTGTATTAAAATTCTTAACTTGTTGATAACTTACTTTTCGAGCCTTCATAATAAAACATATACCCTTATTTTACATAATTGATTTTGATCAAAGATTGTTAATTTTTATTTATCTAATTCTAATATATTAACATAGTTTAAGCTGATTTATAATAAAAAAAGTTGATTTTGTTACAAAAAGTAAAATTAATTAGTCTACCTGACAATTATTTCTATGATAATGTTGATAATTAAATATTATTATTATACTAGTAGAATTATTAGCTTAGCAAAATCAATTTAAATGATAAAAATGTAACTGAACTAAATTTGGTTAATTTTATTGAGGGAGATGTTTCTATGTCGCTTATATGCAGTTAATTTATAGTTCTTCCTTCATCAAATTTCCTTTAAATTTATGATATAAACTATCAAAAAATAGATTTAATCAAATTTTCAAGTATTGCTACAATTAAATTTGCTTTCAAATTGCAAATAAAATAATTTGAATCTTATTAAAACAATTGGTGGAATATTCCTTTTGATTATGAAGAAAGGATTAACAGTAATGATCCTTAATAAGGTAGCTAATAGCTTATCTGTTTAATTATTTAAGAGGATAATAATATTATGGCATACATAATAAATCTTTAAGTTATATAAATTTTGTATTCATATTAATTATCCTAGTACTATAGAGTTACAAATGTAGTAAGCGATCCCTTTAGGCAGCTAATATATGTAGTTAACAATTAAAGTTTAACTTTGGTATTCTCTTATAAGTTAAATTTAATTACAACCCTCTAGAATGCTTGTCTAAAATAAGCTAAAATTTCATATGACTCAGATTTTGTTTATTCCATATGCCCAAATGATATCATAATTTATAATGGTTTAAGTTTTTAATAATAATTTCCTATTATTGACAAAGGAATAAAAGAAGTTGATAATTTTATTAACACAAAATATAACAACTATTTTATTATTATATAAAAAAATAAACTTTCTCTCATAAAAATGGAATATTTATCTGATTTTCAGCTTGTTTATGAAGTCAATAAAACTTACTAATAGTTATTAAATATGAAAATCATTAGAGACTAAAACTATTAAACCTATTTAGAACTTTTACTTTCCTCTTTAGATAATGTATAGCATTAAATAATGCCTTTACAATAAAATTAAAATTGCTATATAAACATACAACAATAAAATAGACCAATAGAAAATCTTTACTCAACCATATAATTATTTTAAAATTTTGATTCAATACAAAGTTTTAATCAATAAATATCACTATTACAAATTAATTACTAAGATTAATAGTGTATTTAAGGTATAAGTGACAATTTATATAATCCCTAAAATATTGATTCAAATACCTAAATTACTTTGATTATTTAATCTTCATCTCAAAAAGAGAATATTTGTTGGTAATACTCAGAAAGCAACGATTACCCATCATATATAGAAAACTTTTATCTTAAAAATATGAATTTATCTATATAAAATACGATAGTATTTAACTAGAAATAATAAATGAAAAACTTTTAAATGTTTAACATTACTTTAAACATTTAGAACTCACTCAATTTATCTGATTTTGATAAAGTTTTTTTTAAAAATATCAAATTCGACAATAGCAGAGAAGGTAAGAATTAAATAATAATTCAAAACTGTAAATTAGTTGTAATTGAGTAAGTAGATATAATAGATATATTATCGCAATAGATAATATTTACTTTAACAAACAATAGTAATGTTTTTATTTAACATATAAACATCTCTAAGATGAATGGAAATACTATATTTTAAATGAATAATAATTATTAAGTTATAATAACTGATATTAAAATACAAAACTCTAGCTACATAAATGTATTTCAATTATCTCTATCAAATTTTTTCAACGTGACAAATTTAATATTATAGTAAGTTTTATTTTCATAGGTTTTAAATATATAAGGAGCCACAATTTCTTAGATTTAACACATAGAGGTTGATAATTGTTATTAACTACAATTGATATAATTATAACCAATTAAGTTAGACAATTTATAATATTTATCTAAATATTATATTTTGTAAAATTTGAACTTGCAAAATTCTACTGATATTTCACTTGATACCCAATCTGAATAAATATAAATCTCTGATATAATCATTTAAAAGTTAAATACTTCTTTAAATTGTTTCACTATAAATGCATTATAGTTATCTGTAAACAATTTTACTATTGAAAATTCAATAGTATATTTAAGTTAGCCTTCTATAATATTTATACTTAGCTATACAGACTGTGATATTCAAAATATAAATTCAACTAAAAATTAAATAACAATTTTAAAAATTAATCAGTAAAATTTAATTGGTAAAACATAAATCCATTCTTCTTCATTTATAGATTTTACATTATAAAATCCTGTAATGGAGTTTATAAACATAGATATGTTATTTTTAGATAAAATTTAAATCAAAAATACTTTATTTTATGATAATTTGCATTCCTCGATTATACTAATAAATTAATGTAATAATATTACAATAAATAACAGTCATTTTATAAATAACACAAATACTATTGGTAATGGAGGATCTATTTATGCTACTGATAATTAATTCATTTAAATAAAAAATACAGTTTTTAAGCTAAATCAATGCTAATCATAAAATGGAGGAGCTTTAAGTATAAAGAATAGTTTTGAAATTGCTAGTCTAACTATATAAAAGAGCGCTTTTATAAATAATTAGGCTTAATTATCTACAGGTGGAGCTATTAATTTGGTGAATTCCAATTTGGTGATGGAAAATTCTGTAATTTCTTCAAATAAGGCCTTGATTGGTGGCGGAATCTATTATTAATAAATAATTCCTGATTTTGTATTAGATTTTATGAAGAAAATCAATAATAATAATATAATCTCTTAAAATTTTGCAAAGCTATATGGAAATAATTTAGGATCTACATTGAGAAGTATTAAGATTAATTTAAAGGATATAGAAACATCAAGGAAAACATAAATAATAGAAAATAAAAATAATTAAATTTATGTCAATTAATTTTTAAGTGGAGATTAAATAACTTTTAACAAAATTTAATTGCTTGATGAGGAGGATAAACCTATCTTTATACCTAGTGATGCTAATTATATTCGCACTTAATAATACAGCACTGAAGTTTAATCAATATTGTAGTAAATTAGTGTTTCTTTGTAGTGGGACTAATCTTCATAGTAAATATAATGTCTTGGAGAGTTGTAATCAAAGTAATTTACAAACAATGGATTTAAACTGAATGCATAAATTATATATAAGCCAAATAATTAAATGATCTTGCAAGTTGTTTCAAATTTATTTCCAAAAATTTCTGATTCAAAGGGGAATGTATATTTAAAGCAGTACTAACTTTATAAAAACATCACTATTAATTTCAATAGCTGTTAATTGGGTTAAATTACGAAGCGTTAAAGCAACTCAATAGTTTGTGAGGATTGCCCTGAAGGTAAATACTCTTTAAGCTTGTAAGATAGTTCTTGCTTATAGTGTCCTGATTCAGCTATTAAATGCTATCAGTCAAAAATTCTTTTAAAAAATGGATATTGGAGAGAAAATAAATTTACAGATTAGATAATATATTGTAATTTTCATCCTAATTTATGCTAAGCTGAGTCAAAATTATCTAAAGTAAATATTATTATTTATTATTTATAGATTCATCACCTCCAAAATAAAAATTTGAAAGAATTTAAATTAAATATATTTACAAACTCTGAACAATTTAACAGTCATTTTTAAACAATAAGGAATTTTTTAAAATAAATTTTAACATATTTTTTTTTAGGAATATTGTATAGCTGGATATAAAGGTCCTCTTTGCTACTCGTGTGATACCTATGGAGAAATATGGGGCAAAAGGTATCAATAAATATTTAGTTAGGGAGAATGCTACAGTTGTGAGGGAAATAGCTATATCATAATCACATAAAATTTAGTTTTATTCATTATCATCTTTTACTATATATTTGCCCTTTTAAGAAATATAATCAATAAATAGCAAGCTAAGTTAGCAGGCTACTTTATCACTAAAATGGATTTAGTCTATTTAGGGTCAACGTGTATTTTATTAGCTTAAATTTTTAAATAATTTATAAAATAAGCTTTTTTAAATAAAATTTAATTTAATTTATTGTTTTTATGCATAAATATTAATTAATTTAAATATAATATAGTAAGATAATAAGATAAGCCTTAGATAATTTCCAAAATTTTAACTGATCACCTTCAGATATTGTCTTTATTGAGCTTTTTTAATTTTAATATTCCTAACTATTTTAAGATTCCAATTTAGGTATCCGGAAATTCTATGAGCCTAACAAGCAAATCTATTGATTGCTTTTTTTCAAGATATCCAAACTTAAAACCTTTATGGTTTTATTAATCCTTGTGGTCATTATGTTTACCACTTTCTGTACTCTCTCTTTATTTAATATTTGGCTTTATTTTAAGGTATTTTAAAAAAAATACAAATATTTTTAAATACTTAAATACTGCATGTATCTTCATTTATCTTTATTTTTATCCGATGATTATTATGCTATTTAGCAGGTCTTTGAATTGCCTATAAATTGGTGATAAAAGCTATCTTGATTTAGATGTAAATATATTATGCTACGACCCTTAATATCATAAACCATATGTTATATTCTACTGCATACCATTACTAGTTTTTTGGGTAGTTATTGTTCCACTATTTTTATTTTTAAAAATTAGAAATGGGAAAATGAAAAAATGGCCAATCTTTACTGAAATAAAGTATTCTTTTATATTTGCTGGATATAAAGAAAAGTATTATTATTGGGAATTTGCTAAATTATTTTATAAATCAATTCTAATTTTGATAACTACATTACTTCAACAGAATATTTTATTAAAAGTAAGTTAGTTATTAATTGTTTTAATAAATAAATACAAATCAATTTAAAATAACTTTATTCCCTATTTCTATTTATAAAATGAATAAATATACTTATTTTATTTTAAAATTAAAATAGTTGAGCATGCTAAATGCTGTTATCTTATTATAGATTTATATAATATTTAAGGCCAAGCCTTTCACAGTTTAGAATTTCAACAATTTATTATAAAGATCAGCAATTTTATGTGCTTTATCTCTAAATTTAACTTAGATTATTGCTAGTGTAACAAATATAAATTTGATTTTAGAAGCTATTTTAATTACAATATTAATTTTTTTAAATCTTAAATTTATAACTTAACTGGTGATTGGAATATGTCTAATTACAATACAAAATGACAGATAAAAAAGAAGTACTATCTAAAATTGCTTCTTATATTGTATATCAAAATACCCTTCTTTATTTGAAAATATTCAAATTTAATAAGGTTAAATAAAAGTAAGCTCTCTTTTGAAAATAAAGTTAGTTAAAAATAAAGTTAAACATTTAGTTAAATACTTTAAACAACATAGCTTCTTTAATTAAGAATCTTTGCAAGAGCACTTTCAACTCTAAAGAAATTAAATCCTTTCTCCTAAATTAGAAAAATAGTCATAAACCAATAGATTTACTTTATTATCTGGAAACGAAACTATCATTGGATAACATAAAAAGATAAATTCTCTCAAGGGCATGAGAGAGAAATGGTCATACTATTCAAGAAAAGCGAAAGAAAGTCCACTAAGTAAATTACCAACTTCTTAAAATATTAAATAATTTTCATTTTATATTAAAAAGGTATGCATAAATATGATAGTTAAGATAAATTCTAGAATTCACCCAAAGAATTAGCTCTTACTGAAACTGCAAACATGTAAACTTATACTTGTAATGATGAATTTGGATTATCAATAACCAGCGATGATAAATTAAATAAAAATATTAATTAACATTTGAACAATAAATAATGATAAAATTAAAATAGTCTCTTAATTAAAAATTATGATAAATAAAATAATGAGATTTAAACACTACTTTTTAATTTTATGTTCTTAAAAATATCATTTTTGTTTTTTATCTTAAATTAATCCATGTTAAATAAATTTAACCATTTTTAATTTGAACATCTTTAAAAATATAATTAAAATTAATTTACCATAGAAAAGATTAGAATTTTAAAAAATATACAAAATATAAAATATGTAGCCATAGAAGACAGTTTTTAAATAAATATAAAAAAAATGATATATTAAAATATAAATACATTAAAATCTTCTATTAAGCCTAAGATAATGAATACAAATAATTTAAAGGTCTCATTATCTTTACAGCGAAGGAATTAGATAATTTAGGGTATGCTTTTAGGAAATTTTTTTCAGACTTACAAATTTAACACTTTTTTTGAAGTAAATTTAATTTAAATTTTTATAATTTTAGCAAAAATTTTTTTATAAATGAACATATTATTTAATTTTATATTTTTAGATTATATTATCAACAAACTTTTCTTCTTAAGTCATTTGAAATAATTTTTTTAGAGATAATAAAATTGAAGTAAAAGGTATACAACTTTTATGCTTTGTTTTGAATAAATGTGCTAATCTTTCTAATCTAAAACTAGATATTTAGTAAAAATAATTTAGTTTATCAATAGATTTTTATAAACTAAATAACTTTTAAACATCAAAAGTAATAATAATATATTTAAGTTAAAATTAGCACCAATGATCCTATTTTTTAGAAACCAAATAATATATAAAAATTAACTCATAACCTGTAGTAAATTATTTTTAAATATTTTATAATTTATTTTATGTTTATAATAATTAATTTATATTTATCCATATCATATAATGATTTTAATTTTATAAAAATTTGTTAATAAAATAATAATTAACACTAGCAAACATTTATTTATTTTTCTATAAATTATATTCATCTTCTTTTTTAAAAAAGCAAAAATATTATTGTAAATGATTGTTTATTAATATTGAGTTCTGCTTTAAGTTAATTTTCAAAGCTCATGATATTAGTCTTAGACCCTCAGTAAATAATTTTTTTTGGTATTTCTATGATATTTGTAAAATGCAAATTTGCTAATTTAAAAATGATAGATATTTTTTAAAATTAAATGATAAAAGTAAGTCTGGCATTTAAGAAAAAGGAGCTCTTGATTAGGTTTTACATTTAAAAAGTGCAATTTCCACTCAAAATTAACATTTGATTTAAAGTTAAATACTAAATTATTAATTTTTTAAACAATTGAATTTAAACTTTATAGTTCTTACAATTAGTATTAGTAATCATAATTTTTTTAAAGCACTTTTTCTTTAATATAAAATTCTTATAATAAATAAATAACCCTTTAAAAGATAAAATGTAATAAAAATATTAGGGGTAATTAATCTAGCTAATGGTATAGCAAATTGCAAATAATTTACAATCCTTACATTAAATTTAAATTAAAAATTATGCTTTTATCTAGTTTTTATTAAATTAAAATTAGTTAAAAAACCTTCTTAATTTAATTATTAGATATAATTCAATATAAAAAAATGTATGAGTTTAAGTTGAAGAGGAAATATTTTAAATCTAATAGATTAGTTAATATGCAATTTTTTCTTTGATAAAATATAATTTGAATACTGAAATTAAATTTGTTAAATAAATTATTTTCCATTAAACATTTATGTAATGTTATTTTTTAATATAAAATATAATTAATTTTTCAATTATCATCAGAGTCCAAATTTTTTTTTTCAGCTTATTTACTTAAAGGAGTTTATTAATTTAACAAATATATTAGAAATTACAATAATTATTAGTTATTAATTTCTAATTAATTATTAGATTGGTTATAAATATCATTACATAATTTTGAATTTAGTTTTAAATATTTAATAAATGATTGAATTTCTTTGATTTCTTAGTTAAAATTAGTAAATATAAATCCCTTTATTGCTGAACTCAAAAATTACTTACTTTTAATAATATTAACTAATTTTAATAATTTTTTATTAATCTTTTTCAGGTTGTTATTTTAAATTAAAAAATCTAAGATTAATTAATGATCTAACTAATTATTTTGTAATATTTCTTCTTTGATATAATAGATTAATGGTAATAAATTGTTAATCTTGATTTTATTACTTTACAATTACAAACTTTATTATTTTATTTTTATTAATATCAAATAACTAATTAATGTG